CCCCAAAACCCCAAAACCCCAAAACCCCAAAACCCCAAAACCCCAAAACCCCTTTTGCTTTAGATTAGTTGAAAATATGAACTATGAGAGGTTTACCGCAAGGGGTTACTTCTTCTTGCCCTTACCACCTTTGACCTTAGTTCTGGCAAATTTGGCACTCTTGCTAGAAGTAGCACTGAATTTCTCAATGATATTATCCCCTGTGCCTTTGTCTTTGAGCTTCATTCTCCTCTTCTTCTTCCTAAGGGATTCTATTTTGATCTTGTCGCTCTGATAGGTGGTCTTTTTGGAATTCTCGTGCTTCTTTGCCATCATTTCTTGATTTTCAAGATCAATTTCGAGTCTTTCAGGACTCAAGAATCTGAACCATTGTAAAGTCTGAGGATCCAGTCCTACTTGAGTGAAGGCATACTGCCAATGAGGTAACCCTAGATGCATAATCATCAGTCTGAAATAGTCTGTAAAGGTATTAGCAATAAAGAACCAGCAGCAGGATAGGTCTTGGAACCAAACCTGGGGTTTATCAACTGTGTTTCTATAAATCAGGGCTAATTTTCCATCTTTGACTTTACAGTCCATGTCGAAGGCGGCTATAAAGCGCTTAGACTCTTCTTCAGGTTCCTCTGTTTTCTCATTTTCAAGGGCTGATTCCTCGTAGTCAGCGCCAACAGCTGAGAATATAAAGTCATCTTCCTTAATAGCTTTGATGTCTCGAAGCCTATTCAGGTGCATTCATCCAAGTGGGTATATATGGTCATTCTTCTTGATTTTCCAGCTAAGTGAGAGCCCATCAGAGATCTGTAAAAACGATTTATAGTCATCAGGAAGCTTATAGGGAGCATTCTCTTCCTCCCATTTGGAGAGACTGACCTCTGCGACACCTTGTCTCTCACTGTTGAACTCTACTTCACTGATCCCAGTGTGGGATTCTAAGAAAGAGATAACACTCAAGGAAATATTATCAAAAATTTCCCTGATGCTTTGCTTATTCATACTCGAAAATTTTATAAATTTAAAAATTGGGGTTTTGGGGTTTTGGGGTTTTGGGGTTTTGGGG